TAAAAAAAAAAACTACCCTTACTTTCGCAAAAAAAAATCCGAAATTGCCTTGCAAAAGTTGTTAAGTTTAAAAGGTTTACGGCGCACTTTAATTGGTAATTTAATTTCGAAAAAATAGTAATTCTAAGCAAAAATGGTGAACAAACTACATACCAAAAATGACGTTTGACCCTTCCAATTTTTTAAAGAAAAATCCGTGTATTATAATTGTTTCTGAACGAAATTAAGAGGCGTATTCTTGTTTTCGTACGAATCGAAAATTTGAAATTTTTGTATAGAAAATGATAGGAAAATTTCATGATTTTCGATTCGTACGAAACCAAGAATACGCCCCAATATTTTTTATTTTTTTTTTCGTGCTCGTTGGCATAGATAAAGTTCGTTATGCTTTTTATTTCGTACACAATTTTTTGTTACAATGAAAAATAAATTTCGACGAGAAAAGTAAGAATATACTGCTTCTTCTTTTGAAAATTGGGAGTGTCAAAGGTCATTTTTGATAAATAGTTTGTTCGCCAATTTTGCTTGGAATTTGAATTTGAAAGTGTATAACTTTGTTCGAAAATTTTGCTCCAAACAAATTACTCTGCCCTAATGTACATATGTACCTACATATAGTAATGTACTCATCGTCCGCTGTTTTTTTTTTTTTTTTGGTACACCAATTAATATGTCGCAAGTACAAAATGCATTGCCCCCTTCGCATTTCATCTTACTGCGCCTCATCATTTCCACTACTCATTTAGCCATTCAGTTGCGCTTCATTACTGTCAGTTTTGTTGCTGATCGATTTTGTTCTATATCATAACCAGCACTCTTTGAAGATCATCTTTTTTATCCATATTTTATCGATATCTTTGAATCTGTACTTGTTTCTCTTGTGTATCTCATATCTTTTGCATATCTTTTATGGCATATCGCAAGTCATCTTCTTAAGATTTTTGAGTAATTTTGTTGAATGAATATGAATGGGCGCTGCCATCGCTTCTGCCTTTTGCTCCTGCTGCTGTTTCGACTACGCGGCGGCTGCTTGTGTCAGCATCAGTTGCCGGTGAGTTGTTTCATCGCCTAAAACGGTTGCACTTTTCATTCTTCTGCTCCTTTGTTCGCAATCGCAATTGATCTTTTGGAGTGTATTGAATATCAATGCTTACTTAAGTGGGCAAGTGAAGTGTGGTTTCCTTTTTAACGTTTTTTTTTTTTTTTTTTTTTTTACCTTACTTTCTTTTTTTTTTTTTGAATTCTTTATCTTCTTGTAACTAAGTAATAATTATTTGATCTTTCATTAATGTCTTGTAATTTGTTAATGGAAGTGTGCATGTAATTTCTTTTCCTTTGTCCTTTTGGCGTTTCAGACATTCGTCAGCATGACTTGGCGTAGGTTTTTGTTTTGAAAATATTTTGAGCCGGAAGTGGGGTCAAGGAAATTCCAATTCAAAATGGGAATTACAATATTGATGAGTTAAAACGCCGTAGAAGAAGTGACCGAGCTGGTCGCCAGGTGCAGTAGATACAAAAAAAGGAAAAACTTTCAAAAAAGAAAAAAAGGAGAAGACGTCGAATTAAAAGTAGTAAAAAGCGCCTTTAGCCAATGGATTAGCGAAATCCTGGATGCAGCTGTGTAAAGGCAGGGTCACACGATTATATTTGTATAGATTTGTAAATTTTTTATTTGGGATATCGGTACAAAATAAAAAGATTGGAACCAGAAATTTTTTGTAGTCACACGATTGGTACAATACAGCGAACTTCTAATGAACATTTTTAACACATTGTTTTTCGTGATTGGGATAATCAAAAAAAAAAAAACAAAATTTGGCCAAATTCCCAACCGTGTGACACTGCCTTAAAGTTTACGCCTTCAGCCGACCGGTTTGCGTAGGCCATTATTCCTCTGGAGTCTGAGAGAACTTTTCAGCAACATGCATTGACAGGAATGCGCTCTCTCATTTTTGGCGCTTGGTAACGGGTTATAGCTCTAGAGTCATGTCTCTTCATTTAGTGTTGGCTAGTGGCGGATGGGCTAAGAGTAGTCAGCTCTCGGCGAGGAGAAGTTAATATTAGTGATCGATTGGGGTGATCGGCTAAAACGCCGCTCCTAGACCGAGCGTTCACGGCGCGGGTCAGCCTGGTTTTGTCTATCCACAGTAAGGCCATTGCGAGAAAAGCTCTTCGTTTAATGTATAATGTATAAACCAAGTCTTTGTTCATTCACGCTTGGCCCCTCTATTTCAATAGATTTCAAAAGATGACATTTTTCACCGTAAGTCGATTAACGAAAATATGCACTAGTTATGGCTCTGTAGTTCCTTCTAGGCGGCAACCAGAGTTAGTTCATATTTTGGTTAAAGAAGCGCAGTGGTGGATCCACGAGGGGCTATGGTTCAGTGGTTTTGGGTGATAAAATTCTTCTAAAATTACTTATACATATATCTTTGTGAATATTCTTGACCTGTTGTATTTCTCAAGTAGGTTTTATTCCCTTTCAGGTATGAAAAACTTCGTTCAGGTGTAGGTATTGAAACGGGAAAAATATGGAAATATGTAAATTTAAAAAATGTTGACTTTTTAAATCTTTCAAATTTATATTCAACAATTTTATTGAATTTATGGACATTTTTGTGAAAAAAAAACACTACAATACGGTAATCCGTCTCTGTGGAAAAACCAATCCAGTGCATGTGAGAGCGCAGGTAATTATGGCCTGTCAGGTAGCCAATAAGCAACTTGATGTTGGCCCGGTTCAAAAGATGTGCATATATATTTCCTGGCGAAAAGATAACCAAAAAGTCTGCGCTCGAATCGTAACATCCGTTCACGGATCGAAAGAAAATGACGTTATATGTCAATCGTATAAGATGAATGGGATAAAGAGTTTGTTCACGTATGTCATAATCCGAAAAAATGTGTTTTTATGTAACGAGTAATACGATATCGTATGCGACAATTCGAGCCCTGTAGCTCGTTTCTGTAACACTTCTCTACCGATTATTGCTCTACTAGTAGAGAATATACGTCATTCTCTACTACTCATTAGCAGTAGAGAACAGGGCGGCGAATTTATATCTCAATTCGCCTTGGTAGGGAATTGTTATAGAAACGAGCTACTGATCTGTCTAAGGCCGCCTACCCCTCCCCAGTATTTACTGCCTTTTCAGTTTACCCACGCTTCGATTATGAGCCTTCAAGAGGACGAGCTGAGTCCACTAAATGGTTCCGGCCCCACAAGTACAGACGATGAGCCTTCTACTGTCAATTCGTCGGCGTCCTCGTTATCTACGATCCCGCAGTGCCCTGGCACAAAGCATCGAAATACCGTGTTCCTCGCTGCCAAAAGTTGGATGGTGGCAAAGCCATCTGGGGCATCTGAAAAGATAACTAGAAACTCGCATTTTAAACCATTCACATGGTTCAGTTTGGCACAGATTGAGATTGCTAGTACCGCGGCATAAAAACTGTAATCGAAGTACCCATTGCAATAGAAAGTTTAGTGCCAGGTCCCAAGCCACCAACTCCTGCTCAACGCTCCACCATTGTTCCGTCTGTTTACCAGTGTACTTATCTGTGGTCTAGTTCTGGACACCTCGGCTTGGAGTTTTGACCAGGAATTTCCTACCAAAGCAGATTTCCTTTGGCATAGCGTCGGAGAACTCGCAGATTCCTAGACCTGGTACTTAGCTCAAAATATCTGTGGGGTGTTTCTGGTTTTTAAGAGTACTGTCGGAATTTTTCATTTGCGAATTCCTCGAAGCTGCTGCTGCTTGGACAAAAATGTGGAGTGGAGTCCAACCCAGGAGCGACTCCAAGGCCGCAGTTGGATACAATCCATCCTTTGGAGTTTGTTCAGATGTGAAACCACAGCCACTTGGCTCGGGTGGCTTTTTTAGTTGACGCAACTAATAAACCCTTTTCTCAGTGTGGACGTCTAACATTTTTTTCCTAAACTCCTAGTAAATTATTTAAGAAGTGACTGTCAGTTTGCTTCCTCTTTCCCACTCATTTCTTTCTCATCACCCATTGTTTATCGCCATTAACATAAAATTAAACAAATGCGCTTATTTTTTCTATAAAAATTTTGTTTTATATATTTTTTTTGTAATTTTTTCGTAGATTTATTTTTTCTTCTGAAATATATTTATAAATAAATAAAAATGTGTGTGTTCATTCTTTTTTGTTTGTATGATTGTTGGTGTGTGTGTGTGTGTGTGTGTGTGAGTTTTGTTTATAACATTTTTTGCTTTTCATTTTAATTTCGCAATAAATTTTTTCAGCTTAAAATATAATAAAACTACATACATACATATAACGTACAAAGTATACTAAGTAAATACTCTTGTATATATAATAAAATTTATATATATATTTTTTTTATAAGTTTGTTATGATTGCGAAATTATTTAGGAAAACATACACACGAACGTAGCAACACATGCACATATGTAATTGTAGAAAAGTAGTACTTTACGCGGTAATATATATATTATTTTTAACTATAGAACAGTATCAATATAAACGTCGCACTCTAATTAAAAAAAAAACTAAAACAATTTATGTAACTATAATTTTCTTTTACTTAAATGTATTAATTAATAGGTATATACATACATACATACAGACAGCTGTAAGCCTTGCGCTGGCTAGGAAGTCGAGTGTTGCTGAAAGAGGTGCTTCAATACTTTCTTCGCGGCGAAAAAAAAACTGAAGCTAACTTTTTTTTCGTTTTCAAATAAATTCCAATAAAATCGATTTTTATTTAAAATTTTATTTTGAATAATTTTATTCATTTTGTTTTTCTTTCTTCGCTTATTGAATCCTAAATTACATACAGTGACTACGAATGACACAATGCGATTGTAAAAAAAAAATAATAATTGAAATTAAAAATTATAAAAATATAAAACCAATGCTATTATTGCGCTTTACACATACATACATATTGTTACAAAAATTACATACAATTTTATAAGCTAAAACGAATTAACAAAACATTTATTAATTAATTTATATAAAATTAATAATAAACTTTTCAATTCATTTCACTAAAACTACTATACAATTTTTTTTTACATTTCAGCTATACGTAAGTACAGCTCACAATCAGACGCAGTCATAGTCGCGTCTGCGCAGAACTAGGCGCGCTCATCTACATACAGCGCACGGCAAGATAGTTGACAACGCGGCAACACCAACGGCAGCAGTGCGCGGCTGACACGAATGTCTAACAACGCCGTGAAGGAACTCAAGCGGCGGTTGGCTATGGCGTTGTTACTGGCGATGATTCTGACTTCGTTGGTGAAATGGTGGTGGCGCTGCAGCAGCCTATTTACGTGGCAAGCGCTCTTATGCTCAATCGCTGTCAGCTTTTCTCTGTCGCTCTCCCATTCGCTGCCTATCTATCGCATTACTTTCGTCATTTCGTGCTGTCGCATGCGGTCAGTGACTATGATGATTCTGTTGTCTGCTGCTGGGCACTGCTTTCTTTCTCTTCTCTACCTCAAATTCCTCAACTGTCAAACCATTCGGCAGCCTGGCTGTCAATAGTGACAATAGTGCGCTCTCTTTCGACTCTTTTAATGCAACTCTCTGCTCTGTTCGAAGGCGCCGTGGTGCTATGCTTTCATTTACCTTATCAAATCTGCTCTATTTTACAAAATAAATTCTAATATTTATACTTAAAATTCATATATTCAGTCCATTTTGTTTGCATATCGTTTAATAAAATTTAAACTTATTAAAGCGTGAAGCGGCTTGAAACTCAGCATTTAATGCTCTCTCGTCTGCGCTCCCAATGGTGCGTGTGCTCACGTATGCCTACGTGTGTGGCGCATATGAACTCTGACCTTTCATACTTTGGCAAGAGGTTGGCGGCTGCGGCTACTCGCATTCTCTTTCATTACAGCCGCTACTCGTGTCGTTCGGTAACCAATTGGCATCCACAACCAATTCAATCACATTCGCTATCTCGTTCTCTCTCTCTCACCGTTCCACAACAGAGTCTCACTGTTCCACAACAGAGTCGTTAGCTATGCTTCGCACTGGAATTACGCACTGCAGGCGTGAAGCGCGCGAGTCTTTACTTAGGCCGTTGCACACGCACACATCGTACACATTTTATTCGGTCCCCGTATTCGTAATACTCGCCCGACGACATTGGTTTGGCTTCTGGTTTTCGTTGTGTCTGCTTGCATTCGTTTATTTCGTTGTTGCGAAATATCAACAATTGTTGTTGTGGCTTTCTGCCTGTTGCTCTCCTCGCATCGCGCTACATTCTATTACCGACAGCCACAGCCGACCACTGTCATGTCCTGATAATTCTTAAGCACAACGGTATTCTGATCGTTTAGGTAGAGCATCGAGATGCCCTCCAATTGTGTGGGCACACAGCAGGCCTTTGGTACCTTTCCCGGATTGAGATTATTGACTAAAGTTTGCACGACCGCATGGTTTGTTGAGTTCATATGCTCCGCAAGCGGAAATGGACACTTGCCCTGACAGTAGAATGCATCATAACCGGGTGGCGCCACAATCCAATCGCTCCAACCGACATCCGCAAAGTCTACATACAACGAATGTCGCCGACATATTTCATCACTATTTTTCCTACGATGCGCTCGGCTATGATGGCCGGCACGCTTCGACCGCGAGCTGGTATCCCGTATCGAACGCGACTTGTGCTTGCCGTCGTCGGTGTATGTATAGAGCACTGGCTGCTTGTGTTGCCAACTTTTGTGTGGCTCATCTACGCTGCGTCGCAGTCGCACATGATGATGAAGTGCAGGTTTGAGTGAAGGTGATGTTCGCACTTCAATCAGCAGGCCGTAGTTCTTTTTCGGTGTCGCCAGCCACCGATCGACCGCCGGTTGTACGTCGAGACTCACTGTTTCGGTGCTATTCAGATGCACCGCCTTGTTGTCCAGCAGCAGATAGCTTGGCTCCCGCTTGCCGCGCACACCTACTCGTGTGATGTCATAGGCGAGCACCTGATAGCGCGTGCGATTGGCAAGGCGCTCGTTGAATACCGCATCGCTGATGGCGTCACGCGACAGGTGCAGCTCGGCAGCTCTTAGCTTCTCCTCGTTGGGTATGCTCTTTACGTCGAAGTACAAACGAAACCGATGATGATGCGGAAATCGATCGTCGATTTTACTTTCTGAAAAAAGGGAGAAGAGAAGGAAATGTTGCTTTAGATACGTGTCTTCAAGCGGCTCATGTATGTAAGTAGCTTAGGACTATAAAAAAATAAATAGGGA